CAACTGACTGTATTGTTTGCAAAGGTCTGGGAGCTAGAGAGTGTACCTGTAGTGGCATTTGACAATAACCACACAATCTCCAAAGGTGAATACGAGACTGCTCGGAAAATAGATACTCAATATTTAACACGGAGAAATACCTAATGATGGAGAAGACGCAGACAAGGAATTGAATGAGTTGGAGTTGATCGAATGGCATGGCTCGGCCATGAAGGCGTGGTCACTGTTATCTTATATCTTTTAACCATATTAAATATATTGTCCTATCTCTAGCCTAAGCTTTTTCTCCATCATGTATTGATAATTGTTATGATGCAATGAGTTGGTGTAGACGACGATGTAACTTCCACGTAAGATCTTATAGATCAGGCAGCTATATCATGACAAGTCTATAATTTTAGAATTAGGTCCATTATTAGAGCAGTACTAATATCATAGTAGACCATAATTATACATACCAACGTCATGGAGTGAGTTAATAGTTGTCCCTATCATTGAAAAGTGTTCACGTCATTTCTGTAACAACTATCGGGGGATAAGTCTACTTCAGACTGCGTCCAAACCATTGGCTTCTGTCATACTTCGTAGACTGTTCAAAACCGGAGAAAAATTGACTCGCGAGGAGCAGGCTAGTTTTCGTTCTGGTCGATGATGTATTGATCATATCTTCACCCTCCGCCAAATGTCCTCCGGGATTGTCTATTGAACAAGGGTTTGCGGGGGAAGTTGTTTAATATCCTAAAGGCCGTATATACAAACACTTTAGGCAGAATGAGGGCATACAAATACATCTGTCCATTGTTCCACTCAAGCAATGTGGTTAGACAGGGTTCCCCAATCTCACCAATCTTCTTCAACTATGCCATCGACGAAATTCTGGAAACAGCTCTCATGGATGTAAATAATGGCGGTGTGGATCTGTTGCCTGGAGAAAGACTTCTCAACCTTGAGTATGCAGATGATATTGTCTTACTGTGTGATAATACCCAAGCCATGCGATCCACACTTAATCAGTTGGCAATCAGTGTCCGTAAGTACGGTATGTGCTATGCACTTTCGAAGTTCAAAGTACTTCTACAAGACTGGCAGGATTCTAATCCTGTGCTCACCCCGGATGGTGAGCGGATAGAAGTAGTCGAGAAGTTCGTGTATCTAGATAGCTGCATAAGTGCTGGTGGTAGCGTGAGTGATGGGATCAATGCACGTATAGTGAAAGCCAGAACGGCTTATGCCAATCTGGGCCTTCTTTGGCGCCTTCGTGATGTTAGTCTGGCTGTAAAAGGTCGGGTCTACAACGCGTCAGTGAGAGCAGTTTTGACCTATGCTTGTGAACCCTGGCCTCTCCGAGTTCAGGATGTTAGACGACTCTCTGTGTTTGATCATCGCCGTCTCTGAAGGATTGCTGACATCCATTGACAACACCATGTTAGTAATGCGGAGGTTCGGCATCGTGTGTTCGGGCACAGAGATGATAATGCAATCGGTGTCACCATCTTGAAACACCGACTTCGGTGGCTTGGACATGTTCTACGAATGTCGTCCCAGAGAATTCCACGTCGTGCATTGTTTGCTAACTCTGGGACTGGTTGGAAGAAGCGGAGAGGTGGTCAGTGTATGACATGGTGTAGTGGTATGAAAGAAATCTGCAAAGGGCTGGCTTGTGTTGGTCCTTCACGACTCCCTGGCTGGGGTCCTAGAGATGGTGCGACACAGTGGCTAGAGACGTTATCAGATATGGCTCAGAATAGAAGCCAGTGGCAATCCTGCTGTAACCTTCTTTTACTTTCTTCATAAAAAATGGTTGTTTCTTCCTTGACTGAAAGAATTCTTCTGATTGTACTTTTCCATTTCCCCCATTATTACTATTATTATTACACTACCTTACACTGATCTGTGGTCGTTATTGTTCTTTTTTCTTTTTACACGCACCTTGTATTTTTTTATCTCTTCCCATTCTTATTATTATCACGTGGCGCATATGTATGTGGTACCTTCTTCTAACAGTATTTGTGTTCAAATAAATAAATGAACTGATGGATAGTGAAGGATATTATTAAGAGTGCTATCCTTCGCAACGTACCTCGAGCAAAAATCACATCTGGAAGGGGAAAGCTTTAGCTTCAGCAAGGAACAAAATGACTGCTACGTGTAGAAAATATGGTGTGGGACATTGAATGTTTCAATGGAGGATTTTGACTGTATAGTTTACTTGGTATTAAAAGACATTTGCAACGCCACAGATCGAAGAGACAAGAGATATTTCTGAATTAAACCACCAGCTTAAGTACAAATTTACTCAAAATTTATAGGTTCATGACTCAATGAAAAAACACATAACAGGTGACTTGTGCTGCTGAGTAGGATAGAGGTTTCGGACTTACCAACCTAGAGATGGAAGAAATCTTTCATGTCAACTCCACCGACTAACTAAGCCAGGAAACCACTGGCGCGGAATACTTCTTAAATGTAGTCCTAGCTGATGATGCGCGAAATACTTATATAACTCCTAAGCTAGCTACGAATAAAATAAAGTACCTCGATATGCGAAAACCACTGAGATGAGACAAGTTTCTCTTGTAACCCCGAGACAGTACACATAAGTCGCCAGTACCCCGATGTGTGAAAAGCACAGGTTCACAGGAACTTTCGAAAGAATGAAGTCAGGAGATTCTTTCCGATCTTCAAACGAGGAGAAATAAAAAACTGGTGTGGATGATTCACCAAATTACCAACACTTTCGAAGATAATGGATGAATGCACCAATCACAGAATGCGGTAACAGATTGACAAATGTGTTCCTTTCAAGTAAGCTAAAAAGTGATTCTGGAAGGTATTTTCAAGAGTTCGAAATTTCTTCACAGCATGATAGAGCTGGACAACATTTTAGTTTCAAAAACACCGGTTCACGTAATATTCCTCGACCTCTCTGGAGCCTTTGATGCATATAGGAAAATTTGAACAGATGGGATACGCTGACATTAAACTTCTCGGGCATGATAATCACACAGTAAACCGTGTGTTGAACACTAGTTTGAAGATCTTAACTTTAGGAGTCACAAAAGAAACCATTTTAATCGCATTTTTCTTCTTGATCTTCATAAGTGATCTCACAGACACATTTAGCTCGTCGATTCCGGTACATCCTGACAATACTTAAACGTGAAGGTCTATAAGGAGGTAAACATATCTTCAAAAGGACTATTAGTTGAAATTTAGTCCATCAGAATGTCATGTAGCGAACATTCAGCCACGTGGTGGACTAACAACTAAAGTTTTTTATTAAAATTCGCGCGCACTAGTCTCCTCAGAGCGTGATCTTGTTCCAGCAACCACAAAGATCAAGGACACTATTTTTAAATATATTGTGGTTGCAGTCGATGGAAATGCAACACTACGCTTTATGAGAAGACATCTTGGTGCAGTCACCCCAAAATAGTTTCTCATATTGATTAAAATGTGCTCAAGACCTCAGCTCAAATTCCATAAAGTTGTTTCCCCCCTCTCTTCGAAACAGACATAAATCTCCTAGGTCAAGTACAGAGATGAGCAACCAAGTGGGTGATATGGCTAAAGAATAAGTATTACGAAGACCAATTCCGACACAGCATTATTCCCAATGAGGCGTGGGAGAATTATAGGTAATCTTATGATGGCATCGAACATACTATGTACATCAAGCAACTCTATCACGAGCAGTCTACTAAAACACCACTATAATGCTCCCCGACACAACCTTTGAAGAATTGCACATCGAAAGGCGAAATTTCATATAGCTCCCACTTTTTCTCAATGAGAGCTGCTTCCACTTGGAACGCTCTTCGGATCAAAATAACTATAACCCCTTCAGTGAATTGGTTGAAGTGGAGACTTGAAAAACTCGTGCTCACCCACGGATCACCATTTCCGCTTGGGTAAGCTGTCTGATGAGTTTTTCGTAACTTACCTACTGTTATCATTATCACATATAATTGACAACTTTCTGTCTCGCCTATTACTAACTCTTGCTATTATCCCCATTTCTATTCCTTCACCTCGTCCTGCTCATACTGTCTGCATTGCCGATCGATAAGCTTATTTATTTATTTAGTTCTTGAGACAATGGTCACCTCTTAGTATTGGAGTTTTTATTTCCCACTGCAACGAACCAACCTCTTGCCTCGTAAGGTGATACTTATTGCTTACAGAAACCCTGCTACCGTGACACAAACCCACTTGTTCAGATTCGAGGGTATTTAAATTCACAAATAATTACCAAACTAACTAGAACTTGTGAATTCAAGTAGCTAGACTACCGACCACTGGAAATTACCAGAGAACTGTGTGCGCATCAATTTAGCAAGAGGAGAACGAAAACGTATAACTCCGTTTAAATGGGCTCGTCATGAAGATATTGGATATGCTTGCCATTACTTTTGGAGTGTTTGTTTGAGAGTCATCGTCCTTTCTCCTCAAGGTGTTGTAGCGGTAAATAAATCCCCAAAATAAATGTGTCATCTTCAGTAGCTTGTTGTCTTTTGAAGCTCGTCGTACTACTTGTTTCAGACGATATGCTCAATTTTCCGTCTTACGATAAAGCATATTTCTCGACCTCATGGAAAAATCAAACGAAAACGGTGAGGTTCACTAGAGCAAATCGAATCACAGATCAAGTTACGAAGCAACAATAGAGCTAAAGTATACACTACAAAACAGAGAAGGCTAAATTAATGCTTTGGGCAGTTGTTTTGTGCTTCTTAACACAGCAAAAGACCACTTAAACATGAGAGAACTTAATACTCATACAAACCTACGAACCAACGATAATTGGAACATGGAATGATCACCTCTTGTAAGGTCGTTCAAGGTCGTTGAAACAACGGCGGGCGACTTTGAAAGGATTTGACGTTTTTACTCTGACGTCCACTGACTAGTGTATTTCAACTCAAACGTTCATCTAACTTGCTGACCAGATACATATAAATCATACTGAACCGGTTATCACCATCACACAACTCCTACAAATGAATTTTTTAACATACATATTTGTCTACTTGTTTCAGGTGATATATTCAATTTTCCGTCCTATGATAAAGTATATTTCTCGATTAGTAACAGGGAGGTGTGAACTAAGTCGCATAATTGCTGATTGTCCGAAAGGAGCACCCAGAACTGTCAGAATAGGTTGGTTTAGCTTGAGTGTTGTGTTGATCGTATATAAAAGAAAACTCGCTGAGGAATTCAAAAAATAAATCTATTCAAAATGGATTGCTTTTGGAAAAATGTACAGATGCTAAGTCACATGTGCAGTTTGTCATTAGTGCTAAGCGTATCGATCTAAAAGATCAACCAAAGTATTGTCATATACACAAACTTATGCCAGTTTTCCTACCGATTATTTGTACTGCATCAGTCAAATCAACTCTTATCGGGAACTAATAAATACATTGGATGCCTTGAAGTGTACTGCGTTTAATTCAGATGATCACTATCACTCCGAATTACTTTCAAGGGTAGTTTTTCTCATAAGTGACTTGAAGTTTTGTAGTTATGGATTTGTCTTGATTCTCAAAACGAATTGTCATCCCATAATGGAGAAAAGTGGACTCTTCTTGGATTTCAGACGGAGAACCCCGAGACGGATTTTCGCGGAATGGGTATACTGTCTCTTGAAAATCTTGTGTAAGTCGTACTTAGTTGGTCAAAACTAGTCATAAATTTAGTGATTATATTTTGTCAAAACTCATCTTAATGACGTTTAAAGGTTCTCCGTGTAAAGTAACTGATTTGCTCATGTGACACTGATATATGTGAAAGCGATCAACGTATGACGATTTTCAGTCTCATCATTCAGCATTACTAATCCCTTATTTTTATGTAAAATCTACACTTATGTAGTCCACATTAGATTCGACAAGTTAGTCATAGGTATCCAGAGTCACAAGGTCACGTTCAAGTGTATGGCAGGTTCTACGCTGATAATAATAGACTAATTCTTTATGGTCACCCACTTTTTCATTAGGGTTAGAACTCTTAATTAACATAGTAAGACTAGCATTCGCTATCTCCATCTATGGGGTAAATAAGTTTTTTCTGCCGTTTCTGCATGTAGTGATTGTGTTTTTTAAACCCGTACTACAAGGTTTAAAATGACGAAAGTAAACAACTGTTAAAACTGGATTGGGTATGGTAAAATGGTTATTTTTCGAACGCCGGTTGAAGTTCATAGTGTTATACTACGGTGGTGTTATGTGAGTGAATTAAAACCTAATGTGATCTTTCTTACATCCACTTTAGAACTAGTAATTTGTGAACTCATGTCATAAACTTTCTGACTCCCCATTCGTTTCAACCAAATACACCCGTTTTTATTCGTGAGTATATTTCATTGAAGTGTAGTCCTTGTAACAACTCTTTTCTTCTCATGTTGAATTTTCATTTGAAAGGACACTGTTGTTGTAGCACTCTTAACCAGCCTGTAGACTGGCCAAAATTCATAATTTATATCAGTTTAGAGTTGTGGAGGTTGTTGAATTTTGATTGAAATAAGGACTGACTAATGTGAGACCACCACTGGAAACCTGAGAGCACTGGACGGCCGTTTCGTTTTAGTATGAAACTCAGCAGCGCAAAATCGTAGTTTATAGTTTGTTTCATTACATCGCGTTTTGGCATCCTTCAAACGTTTATTGAAGTACTACCGTAATAATGCCTCTCATTACTCGTTATTGATCTAGATTCTAAATACTATAATAACTCTTACTGTATGCTTGATTGATTTCGAGTCTAATTATTGCAGTTATTCAGAATGTTTTGAGGTACATTTTTGTCAGAAATGTCATATTGACAAAAGTTGAAAGTATAACCATATTTTTCTAAAACCGAGCACCATTTCCAACTGTCAGACCCCACAACTTGTATAAAGTGAATCACCCTATTGTTAAAGGTGTAAGGCAAATTTACTGTGGACGAATTAAACATACCACTGCCAGGGAAGTCCTACTCACTGCCTACTCGAAGCAGGGGTGTTTATAAAATTGAGAGAACGAAAAGGGAGTGTCCGGCGCTTTAAGCGGGTTGGTGGACATGAGAGATCCATCTAGGGGAGTTGGAAAGCCCTAATTCCAAACTAATAGTGCATATGGACTCCCGAATCCTGAGGGAAAAAAAAGCGTATACACCTATTGTTGGTCACCGACTACCACGGGCCCTGTGGATTAGACCTCTAGTTAAAAGGCTCGGGGAGTGGTTCTCCAAGAGAACCAACTGCTTCGGTCTGGGAGTTCAAGCAGTACCCTAGCCCTCACACAAATCAAATGATTTGTGTGGCGCATACATATCCGGTGCCTTCTTGTACCAATGTTTACGTGTTCTAATAAATATTGAAGATATGGTTGATAGAATCTTTTCCAAATTTATTTCCATATACCATTTAGGACCTATAGTATGGTTAGAAGGCTTTGCGTTATGTTCTTGTTCAGTCCAGTTATATTCCTCATCATGAATATATATCCTAGGAAAATTGCTACATCATTGGCCTCATTTGTTATTACTGTTTCATGTTTCAAGTAAAAACACATACCATAGAGCTTAAATCAGTGTAATAACACTACCTAAATCCTTACTATTAATTGTGCTGTACTTTTCTTTGTATAGTATTTTCTTTTGAATTTATACCTACATAGGTACTTCGCAGAATCACACACAAAATTAGCGCAAAGTATGTTATCGGCATCACATCATCCTAACAAATGGTAAATTCTAAGAAGTTATTTGATTACACTAACTCCTTTCCAACCAATCAGGTATCCATTTGCTGTAACTGGTATCCACTTGACGAAGTTGTCGTACAACTTAGTGCTGAAGGGTTATCTAAAATATCAATTCTATAATATGTCTTCATCAGCCAGCATACAAGACTTCAACGAGTTTTACTGTAGGTGCTACCATTTTAGTTTTCGTAATTTCCCTATATTTATTTGTTTATTTATTTGAACACATAAATATTGGTACAAGCAAGAGGGCACCAAATACATATGCGCCACACAAAACAATGAGAATTCGAAGAGAAAAAAGTTTAGGAGCGTGAAAAAAAAGAACAATAACGACCACAGATCAGTGTAAGGTAGTGTAATAATAATAGTAATAATGGGGGAAATGGAAAAGTACAATCAGAAGAATTCTTTCAGTCAAGGAAGAAACAACCATTTTTTATGAAGAAAGTAAAAGAAGGTTACAGCAGGATTGCCACTGGCTTCTATTCTGAGCCATATCTGATAACGTCTCTAGCCACTGTGTCGCACCATCTCTAGGACCCCAGCCAGGGAGTCGTGAAGGACCAACACAAGCCAGCCCTTTGCAGATTTCTTTCATACCACTACACCATGTCATACACTGACCACCTCTCCGCTTCTTCCAACCAGTCCCAGAGTTAGCAAACAATGCACGACGTGGAATTCTCTGGGACGACATTCGTAGAACATGTCCAAGCCACCGAAGTCGGTGTTTCAAGATGGTGACACCGATTGCATTATCATCTCTGTGCCCGAACACACGATGCCGAACCTCCGCATTACTAACATGGTGTTGTCAATGGATGTCAGCAATCCTTCAGAGACGGCGATGATCAAACACAGAGAGTCGTCTAACATCCTCAATTTCCTTATGAGAAGAATGGTAGTCACTCCTAAAATATCTAAGTACAAAGGCAGCCATGTACTTAACGTAACACATGTACTGCAACCTATTAATGAAGTACGTGTTTGTTTACTCGGCGTTAGTTTGAAATTTTTTGGAGTAGGGATATGACTTTACCACTCAAAACAAAATAGCACAACTGGGGCTTGGGTCTTTGGTACAGGTTAAAAATAATGTTTTCTAACATATTGGGTTCCACTCTAAAACTTACGCCTGTTACTCCTCGTGGAGTGGGATATATATATAATTTACACTTTCGATGCCGTTCATTTTTAGTTTACTTTTAGTCGACCGAATAAAACCTGATGTGGTTTTTTTAATTTATTTTCCCAATGAAAGCGTTAGATATGTGACAATATGTTAGCAAACGTAATTTTGGCAGTTTTCAGACCGGGTGACTTTGATAAACTCTGAGCAAAAAAAAACCTTTATCTACCTAAGTTCTTCATATTTTGTGACTTAGTAATCACTTATAGATTCGCAGAGTTGCGTGCATTAACTTTACTTTTCAAAAGCTGATATTATTAGTTTGTTGTTCAACTCTTGGTTATTGAAATAAGTCCAAGACCGTTTATGTATTAGTTATCAGTTGAGTTCCTAAACTACGTTTGTACAGTAACTCATTGTCCCACGGCTTAGCACCCACCCAGAAAATCTACGTTTCCAAGTTCGATTATTACGCTTATATGTTTATGGAAAATGTCTGATGACTCATGAAATACCATTAAGGAGCAGTTACTGACATCTTGAACTTTAATGACTATTTGTTTTAGGACATCTGGTTGTTAGTTAACTATTGATCACTCATTTGCTACTGAATTACATTAGCGAATTAGTAAGTCCGGCACATGCTGCTCATAATTCCGAATTTATTAAGACTACATTTGATTAGGTATGGCAGCAAATATTTTTCGTACTTCAAGCAGATTTTATAGTAACATACACATTCAGCAATTATATTCGATCTATGTGATAGTTTCAAAACTCATGCTGCAACGTATAGTCTTAGTTAACGGGATACCAAGGTATTTTATATGGAGTCAAAGCAGATAAGGAAAATGAATACTTCACAAAGCTAAGCGACAATACTCCTTTCTTTAGTAATCATTTAAAGGCTCATTTTAAAGAGCACAACACTGCACATAACACCAAATCTTCTTACACTGATTAGCACATATGAAAATGGTAATACTAGTCAGTCTGTTTAAAATGAGGTTTGATAGACTTATAGATTCGGTTCCTAAAATCATCGTTGGAAAATCTGGAATTATTAATTACTTAAGTTGAATAAGATTTGTATGTCTAGGGAATATTGCAGCAGTCGAATTAGCGGTTTGAAGTCATTCTATCCACATGCTTTAGTTTTCATTGTTACAAAAGCATTACACTATGCAATTTTGTCTTATGTGCTCAATATTCATCGATTATCCTCTAAACAACATATGGTTCTTCGTGTAAGAAGTGTATATTGTTGATTATTTTAGCTTTATATTACTAGTAAGAACCTCAAAATCCCCATTCTCATGAGATCGTAGTTTTCACCAATGTGACTATATATTGCTAATAAATAGATATCCCTATGAAAAGGCATAACAATGTAATCAAGTATTATAAAGGAGTATCCCTAAGGCTTTTTGACCTAAAGCATGCATAATGTCATCTGTGTATAAATTCTGCAATTTCTTCACAATAATATTATGAAGAAAATATTTAGTGTATTTGGCCACGAAATAACACGAATAATCAATTTAACGTCCTATTGTTTACAGTTCGTACTGTGTAAAGTTTGATTATCCTTGTTTTGGAATAAAGTACTCGTTGATCACTTAGCTTAATTGGTAAAAAAAGAAAAGCTCTCAATAAGTTATAGCTGTCTAAATATATCGTTTTGAAATTATTTTTGTTCACCATTAATCGTTTTACTAAAAATGGATTGACAGTTAATGTTAAAAGTTTCTGCTTTCACAAAAAAAAAACCGAAGTAAAATCTTCAATTGATAGAAATGAAAAACTACCAAAATATCAAGCAACTTTCTTTAGCTCATTAAAGCTACCTCATTTCATTAGTTTTCCTTTCAAAAGTTTTACGTCGACCCGTTTGAGCTCACTCTTAATGTTAAGTAATTAGAAATGATTTGGCATATATATATATATATATATATATATATATATATATATATATATATATATATGTTCAAACCAAGTTTTTGTTCGAAAATCCGGTGTATCTCTCATTGTCACAGTGTTTTTTTTCATACTGTAAGACAACATTGCACAACGCTTGTGTGTGTTGATAGACTTCTTATGTACCATGAAGCTTGATTGTTGTTTGTTCGAGTAGCTATTTTCATCCACTATTTTTTAAAATTTAAAAGGTGAAAATGTTTCACAGCAAATCTGATGACATAAAGATATTCAACTTATCACATCATTGTATTGTATAGTGGTAACAGGATCATTTGATTATGACAACAAGAATTTCGTTTTATATGATCCGTCTATAATAAGTTTTGACGGTTCAAACTAACAAAGTGACTTTATAGATTAATCCTATGATTTGGATAAGTAGTTTCGTACATTTTTCTACAATTGACCTATTCATCAACTGATTTGTTTTTTATTTAAAATCCTTCTTGCTGTAAGTGATAGGTATGTAATGTTTTTGGTATAAATTAATAGAAATGCTTTTACTGGTCACTCTGATACCCTGACTATTGTGCTAAATCCATGAAAATTGTAAGAAGTAGAATCCTTTTATGTTTAATTACAAACCAGCTCATTCTACTATACATACATTCTTTTTCCTATCGTTTTTTGAAACAGGCTATACATTTTATTCTTTCCACAAATTCTGGACGAAACGCCCTCGTGATATAATGCAATTCAACAAACATTGTGACGATTTCGCGAATAAATTGAAATGTCTTTTATTGGATGTAAACTGTAGATTATGTTTACCGGTAGATAAAATTTAAATGGTTCATGCGTAGCTATTCTCCCGGCATTAGTAAGTAAACCACAAGTTATACGGGGAACTACATGTAATTAATGTGGTGCTAACTATGGTTAATTGTACCACAATATTTGTAATATTCACGAGCGTGATATATGCTATTTTCTTTTCAATATTTTAGTATAATGATACTTTGCAATCCTTTAAAATGTGAAATCGACGAAATGAAATCTGTATTTATTCTGCTCCCATTTTCGTTCCTGTTTTATTCGAAGGAATAATGAAATCCGTTTATCCGAAAGCTTACAGTTATATCTGTTAAGTATTGTCTTTCTTCCTTCAATAGCTAATATTTTATGTTTATTTCTGTTCATATTGATAAAGGACATTTTATTTTGTAACTTTTATGAGTTGTTTTCAATGCTTAAAACAGAGTTGCTACCGATTTTCGACTAGCAAATACAAGTGAACAAGAAGCTAAATAATTAGGAATCACAGTGCACTCAATCTAGAAGACCGATTGGCTATTTAAGCTTTCACTGACCACAGTTCCGATGTTGAAAAAAGCAAGTTTTATCGAAGGTCCAATGAGCTTCAAAAAGCTAAGCTCTCTGACAGATCAATCATAGAATGGATGACAAGACTATAATTTATGGACGGACAAATGAGATTTAGAATAACAGGTCTTGGATTTCAGCGCGACATCCATTTAGCTCAAAAGCGTTTTGGCATTTAAACTGATGTCAGTTCTGGATGAAAACCCTAAGTCTAGTTCTTAACCCTCACCATCAACTGTCAATCATAATCTTAATTCCCCACACTAGTCTATAACCCCCACTCAGCCCTATTAAATAAGTGAACGTCCTCAATGTGACTTTAGTGTCGTTCATCAATTATAGTTTCACTGAATAGGGTTTTCACGTCCACGTAGAAAACGAAAACCAAGTTGAGCGACAATTTGGCGAGTTCATCAGTGAGGGCCCAAGAAATGGACAGAAGTGACTATTTGTTCCAACTATCGGATACAATACTCTCTACAAATCTGGAATGTTACTTCAGGATTGGCTCGCGTAATCGCCTAAACCAATGATAGGAAGTGTAGTTGAAAGCATCTGCCACTTCACTTAGCTGCGAGGCGGCTCGGTTAGAAAGAGTACTAGATAAGTGCGGTAGATCGATCGACGAAGTAGTCAATTTTTATCAATTTATGTGGTTGGGATATGTGTTACTTATACCTAGCCACCGCCTACCTCGACGGGCGAAGTTCTCTGGTGCAAGGTTGCCTGCAAGAAGGCTAGGGTCGGTCAAGTCAAAACATTGCATCAGTCTGTGAAGTCACTGACAACTGGATTGAACTACGTTGATAGGTACAGACTACCTGGTTGGGGTTCACGTGATTGTCGTAACCAGTAGTTAGAGACTTTGAATGGTATGGCTCGAAATCGTTTGCAATGGCTCAGGTGCATCCAGACTTTGTCTTTCCCAAATCCTGAGCTTTTAACTTCCTCATGACTTTTTGCTTTCATTTCATTAATTTATGTTACCTTTTCGTGAATTTCTATTACCACTGATATTGTTACTACCTCTACTATTCTGAGATTTGGTCTGACTTCACTTCTTTGTACTAATCGGGTATCGGAACCTGGACTGATGTACATGCGTATAGGTTCTATGTTGTGATTGAATAACCATACACAAAGGACCACTCAGTTCTAGAAAATGAAAATTGTAATCATAAGGAAGGATAATTTCCGATGACCCCCAACATCGACTCAACACAGACCTCGTCTTTAAGACTCGATTCGCGACTACTGCTTCTCCAACGCACATGTTCTCACACTCCATCCTGAAGTGTAAACACGCGTTTGTCTGTGACTTGCCGGGCCCATAAAAGTCACAGAAGGAAGACCCTTCAAAACTAATTCTGAAAAAATGGTCAGAAGTACAGTTTACGAACATTAAACTAAGCACTTAGTCGACCGTGTGGGTTAAGTTTATTCTGAGAAGCTTGATGTAATATCCAAACAGTTGTAACAACAGCACTGTCATCTACTTGTGACTCAAACTAGAAGCTTAGGAAAGATCAATGGAGTTCAGGGGTTTCAAATAAATTGACATTCTCGAAATCTCATACTAACCGGCACCGAAACACGAGGATGAGAAACAGTTTGAATGCAGACTGACAAACATTTTAAGCAACGATACCCAGTAGTGGTGGGAACGAAAGTCACATAGGCGAAAGGGTAATGCCAATACGTCACACTAAATTACTGTTCCAAATCGTCGAGAATACGTTTAGTGAAATTTAGCTACGAGCTAGACTACTTCGGAACCATAGTTCACTCATTCCAGGAGGTTAGGTCGGTTAGCAGAACACTTAGTAACAGTTTAACCAGGTGCCAGTTATCCATAATCTTCAAGCAGTGTGGATGGGAAATTGGCACAAGTCCCATAACTGAGATCGAGGCCATTTCCAATTCGAAGTGAGGAAGAGTGGCAAAACTAGATAGGTTGGTTCTGGAAGTCCTTAAGAATGATTATACAGTCTTATATGTTAAGTTGACTGATATATCAGTTAGAGCGCGATCTATGAAATTGGGAGGTACGTGTAGGTTGGAGATTCATGATATGTCATCCTAATCAGTTGTTTGAGTACCGTGAGACAGAAGGGTGAGCGACGGTACTGTTAGCAACTGTGAGGTTGTTAAGGTTAATAGCGTTGTCAAAATGCGAATACTTGTGAGCTCCACAATGTCATCTAAAATAAACTGTGTTTTTTGTAATTTCGGAGTATATTTATAGCACTTGTTATTGCATTCACGTATTCGGTAATCCAACCGATATCAATATATAATCTCTGGAACATATATATGAGGGGACGCTAGGACATGTCGAAACAGTTTATCAGCATTGTTAAGTGTTAAGTCTATATATTGTCCATTTGGTTCTAAAAGACTGGTATGTCACGGTTGGAGAAGTATTGAATCTCTATATTGACCAGAAAATAAGTAATGAATGCCTCTTCATTGTACGTAATTCCCGACCGTCACCTAAATATCTATCAGCGAACCGCAGTCGTTACACGCGGCACAACTAAGTTGTCTGTATCTAGCAAGATAGCCTGAACCGCTTAGTCATTTTCTGCTTCCGAACTACGACCGGTTGTCGAAGGTGCTTTATGAATGTATTGGAGATTGGGTGTACGTCGATTTAATGATATTTTAAGGTATTAGCTAATAACACTATTTTTTGACATTCATTTTTTAGTACTGATTCAGGAGACCTAAGATATCGTTTTGTAAACTTCGATCTTTAGGTTTGGTGGAGCGTAGAATTCGAAAACATCAGACAAGTGTGGGTGGTCTAATTCGAATTACTTTTCAGCGATTAAGATGCGCTTTGCTTGTCGACTGGATAGCTTGATATGTTGTAGATATTCCTCGTTTCCCTACATGATATAGGGATATTTCTTGGGGGATATGAAAAAGAGAAAATGAATCAGTAGTAGCCTTTTCAACTTGAAAACGTGATTCCAAGCTGAATAAACAAGTGTTTGAGACCCGTCATGCTGCATTTTCGTTACAAGTCTTTGTCGAGTTAATTATAAGATTCTAAAGACCTCTTCGCTTGTGAGCGGTATCGTTGGATAAGGCGAGGTGAATTAGGACTGACATTTTCTAACATCTACTTTCCTCTGTAAAAATACTTTACAGACAGATGTTGGTTATCTGAGAAAAGCTTTAATACTAACATCACCTTGTATTGACAACGGTATACTTTCACCCATGGACCTTCAGCTATGCTTTTAGTTTTACCGACCTATTTGACACGCTAGTATCTAAAGTAACAAGCGTTACAGCAAATATATTTCCGTTGGTTCATCATGATTTGCAATCCCTTCCTTAAGTCAAAATCGTTACTGGAGTATCATCAAGTGCATTCAATAATTCATAGTAATGAATAGATGACTGTGGATAAACCCTAAGTCATCTAAGTGTATCATAATAAGTAATTGTGGTTGTTTTCGTTTGTCTAGTCAAGCGATTGCATACATTTTGGAATAATTTCTATCATAGAATTAATTGGTAGTATGACTTTCTCTAGGTTGTAACTGTCCTTTTTCTGTCGTTGACTGCGCTACACTTGACACGTCCGTAGCACGACCGAGTGATATTTTCATCGTAGAAAACGTTAAACTTTCCATATGAGCCAGAAAAAGACGATAGAGAACGAAGCAGCCAACAACTTGGGTCACGATAGTGTAAACGATGATTCTCAATTCCTTTTGCTTGATCGACATATAAAAGGTCAAACCTCAGAACGATAGTGGGGTTTGTCCTAACCCGGATATCGTGTCACGTATATTTAAAATTTCCACAAAAGGTCGAGCTTAATTCAATTGTCTCGAAAAACAAGAGCCACCAATTCATGTTACATATACTTCCAGAATAATAAAGTCTACAAAAGTTCATGAGGGAAAATCCAGATTATTTCCAGCCGTCTTTCGATGCTACAAAATAATAAAATTCAAGGAAATGTGGAAACTTCTACACCCATGAATAATGATTGCTAGATTAGAGAAATTCATTGTTGCCAAGTCTCCAATATTTCTTATGGTATAATATGATGGAAAACATTTGTGGGCCACTGTCTCATTTACTATATTTATACAGTGCTCTAGATCTTACAGTCAAAGATCACATGGAACTTAGAAGAACTGTCCACTAATATCAAAGTCAAAATCTACAATACAAACGTCAAAATAGTTCTACAGTGCGGAACTGAAACGTGGAGAACTACTACACCCATCATGAAGAAGGTACGAGTATTTATAAACAACTGTCTGCTTAAGATACTCAGTGTCCGCTGATCAGATCTCATCAGCACCAACCTACTGTGTGTGAGAGAGAGAGAGCAACCCACCCTCCAGTTGAAGAGGAAATTATGAAGATGTTGGAGGTTGATAGGACAAATATTGGGGAAATCACCAAACTGCATAACGAGACAAGCGCTTACTTGGAA